TTATAATTATGATTATATAATTATAATTAGATAATTAGCCAATTCTGAACAAATATTTGAAGGCAAGGTTTACACTAGCTTTTACTCAGAAGATGAATTGCCCGCCTCTAACCTTGAGATGTCAAGACATTCACAATAGCTTCTTAACCATGTTCATGGCTACCACATGACCACTACGATCACACATCTTACAACCTCCACGGAAGTAACTATAGCAATACATGAGCAAAAGCCCAAGCACTACACCAAACAGAGCTTGCAAGGAACTACATGTACATTTTCCCTAACATTTAAAGTGCTTTCAACATGATATCTTGAAAGAAATAAATGTATGCACCAAATTCTCTTGGGGAAGACTTTCCACTCTGTGCTTTAAATGCTTACTTTAGTTTTGTAAAAGACAAGGCGAAAACTATCATCAACTTCCCATACAAGTCTTACTGAACACTCTCATTTTAACTTTCCCAACTGGACCCAGGAGTTGCCCTTCTCAAAACCACAGGAGGTTGCTGTGTATTCATTCTAATTGTGCTTGTCAGGAAAGACTCGTCCCAGTAGTTACCAATGGTAACAGAATGGAAATGGCCACTTAGTTACTGCAGGAAAAAAAGGCAAAAAATACCTTGCACTGCTTCTGATGGAGTCTTAATGCTGATGGTATTAACCAATCAAAAAGTCCCTGCAGAAGATCCTGGTGTTCCTTTAAGCTAAGAGGTTCAGGCAGTTTACTCAACCAAGAGGTAACAATTGGCCTCCAGCCCAGCTGAGAAGGTTCCAAATAAATCATGCCACAACGACTGACTGTAGCAGGCTAAGGAAAAATTGTGAACTTGTTTTATTACACATCTAGTACATTGAACTTTATTTTATATTGTCATTAAATATAGAACTTACGGATGCCTGGGAAAGATCCATTGTTTCAAAAACAAGATTCATCTGTTGGGACATTTGGATGATTTCCCCACTCATCAAACAGAGCTTTAATAATTAAAAAAAAAAATTGTTAGGAAGATCAGTAAAAAAAAATTCTGTTGTCAATTATGCTTCCCTATCACAGGGGAGTTCTATATGAAAATCAGCAAATGAAGTACAACCAAAGGCAGGGTTAAACACATAAAATGTTTAATCACTTGGAGCAATAGTGGGTTTTTTAAGCTTTAACTAAATTATTCTCTTAACCACAGCACTCCATATTAACCTACCAGTAGGTTCATTACAGGCAACTATCAATCTTGCCTACGACAGGATAAAGAAAAGACAGCAAGCAGAAAGGGTATTTGCTGCTTTTGTTGCTAATGCTGAAGCATTCCAGCTGGAGACTCACCATTCCTACTTATTAAAATAGAAGTCCAGTTTGAGTATTTTCACATCCAGAACTTGGACTTAAAATGTCATCCCTAATTTTTACATTCACTTTGAGATTCCTAAAGCCCATTTTCAAAAGTGCTGTATGGTTAGAACCTGGATTTCAGAAGTCATTAATTTTGAATATACAACCCTTTGTGTCTTAGAATTGTCTTCAAATGTGAAGGCCTAAGTCTGTGCAAGTTTTGAAACTGTGGTATTTACAACAAATATAATTAAATGGGTTTTAAAATTTAAATTTCAACTATTTATGTTACAAACTTAAAATATGACATTAAGTAAATACTATGGACTAAATATCTTACAGCAATGAGTTGATTGTGTGATTATAATTTTAATAAAATAAAGTAAAAAAACCACCAAACAAAAAACCCCACACTAAACAAAACAAAAAACCACTCAAACACAAACAAACAAACAAAACAACAACAAAATCTTACAGCTTGTTACCAAAACCACCTTGCAGTTGTTCTTTTCAAATGCCAAGCACTACTCTTCGCATTTGTGGTTTTATATGTAGAAGAATACTTTCAAAACGTCACATTATTTTATTTAGGCATTTATTGCCACTGACTGATACCTTTTTGTTGTCATCCAGAACTGTGTTCATGCTTTCGATTCATAGAGTATCAATTGGGCCATCAAAGATAATCCATCTGTGTTCAGGAGTCTCAGATAATGCAAATTCTCTGAAAATACTTGCAACTACACCATCTGCCCACTAAAAGGGGAGAATACAGGACTGAGAAGTAAGACACAGTATACATCGTACAATTTAAACTGCAAGTAACAGAAAAATCTTCAGTTTCCTTTTCATTATTCCACTCAGTTATTCTTTTCTTGTCATGCAGAGAACAGAAGATAACTTTGCATTTTCACTGAGGGTCATGCAACATCAGCAAATTCTAAAATAGTGTGTTTTTCATTTGAAAAAACATTGTAACAAATAGAAGACTGGCAATTCGATTTACAGAACCTTAGAAGTGCTTTTGCTCTGTCTTGCATGTTTCTTCTCAGAGTCATCTGAAGTTTCACTACTTCACATTCACTTCTTCATACTGATTTTATTCCAAACCTAAGGTTCACACTTGGGGACCCATGAGTTCCTAAGTTTTTCCTAGATAGTTTTTGCATTACTTTGATTATATTGGTTAAGAATAGACAGAGGAATGACTACAGTTAGGTTTGGTGGGGTTTCCTAGCATGGATGCAACTACATTAGGACAACAAACCTCACAACGGTAATGCTTTTTTTTTGTGTATATAAACCTACATAACTGCACACACACTTGGCATTGCATTTTTTATACGTTAATAATAACAGAGGTCTGACATACACAGAAAAAAAAGAGCACTAGAAATACTACAAAGCAGAAAAGGCAGTCAGAATTATTAGCTCCTAGTCTTGAACCTGTCTTTTTTCTTAAAGCCAAACCTGTAACTTGTTTATAGCACAGTCCTATAAACACTGTCTGGAACCCAGGGAACAGATGAAGAAATGCTGTCTGGAATTGGGACTCAAAAACCAGAAGGAGGAGCCTTGTAAACTGCCTTTCCTTCCCCCTGAAACCCTGAAAAAAACCTGTGAATGACACCATGGATTAACCTGAAGTTAGAACATACACAGATGCACTCATACAAACCCCACAAAAGCCACAGTAGGTGAGAGAGGAAGAAACAGATAAAGGTAGGCAATTACTATACATAATTTTTTAAACATACATTACCTCACGGGATACCATATCAAACTGCCCAAAAAGCTGACCCATAGTGATTGATTTTGGATTCACAGTCCTAAAAATTACTTTTTCTTCTTCACCATAACCGCGCTTTTTCATAAGAGAAAGAGTATCTGCCAAAACATGTAGAACTTTGGTCTTCCCAGAAAACGGTTCCCCTACCAGCATTAAGCTGTCAGATGGAAAGACAAATGGTATTAATAAATCTGTTTCGCAATTTAGACTTTTACAGGCCATGTGAAGTCCAATAGCATCATTCATATGCTTAAAGCTAATTTTCACCTATTTTTCAAAAAGCAGAGCAAGTAAATCTGGTTTGTATATATGAAACATCATTTAGGCAAAACCATTTTGTTTGCACATGCAAATTTGATTGCACAGCCACTGTATACAAGTTGTCCTCCAAAACAAATATTTACCACCTCACAAGTTCATTCACTTGCTGAATCAAAGATTAGTTTCTAGTTGCTTTTCAGTTTAGACAGAGTTTATAACAAAGTTCTGGAAGAACACACACACACACGAAGTCATCAAACTATCTTTGCCCACATTTCAAACTAACTTTTTTAGGCACCCAAGAAACGGATATGACTATAACAATGTCACACTGAAAAGATTAATTAATGAGCTGAATATTAACAAACATATGCCTAATGTCATATTCTATATATTTCCTCCACACAGTTGCTATTCAGTAATACAAGCTAGGAATAAAATGGCAGAGATCTGACAACAGATACTTTAATATAGATAAACTTTTACAGTCCCAAGTCTTTGCCATACTGATATCCACACATCAAATCATTATGCAGGTGCTACTTCTGATGTCAAGAGTAGTTTAATACTCCCGATATACATTCACAAGAATTTTAGTACATGCAAAAACAGTATTAGTGATCAACCGTTCCAATATGAGTGGAAACATTTTGCCACCTTAAGACACTTTAGACTTTGTATAAATAACCACTATGATATAAGCCAAAATTACAACAAATACTGCTTGTGAAACAATAATGAGAATCTTACCCATGTCTAACAATCATCATTTCATACGTCTGTATCATTTTCTCTGTAAAAACTTTTACAGGTTGGACATTATGTTGAATACAGCATTCGCTGGCACATACCAGAAAATCCTAAAATCACAACAGAAAATAATCTTTATGTAATTTAAATTACTGTCTTGGACTACAGTAGAACAGTTTATGCTTATCAGTAAGGGTTTCAAATTAATTAATAACTGAAATACTACTAATCAGATTATAGCAAACATCCCTCGGGGGCGGGGGGGGACAACAAAAAACCACTTCTGTACTTCATATTGCTAGAACAGGAGTTAACCACAATTTTTATCTGGAGGAGAAGGCATATCACCATCAGGAAACCAACAGTGTGCTTTGAACCAATATGCTTTTAGCAAGCCTCCAGTATTTACTGGAAATTTTAAAAATTTAATCCATTTTTTCTTTTCCAGCCATCCTCCTACAAAGCAGCTTTGCTTTGATTGTTGCTATAAAAAAAAGAAAATACAAACACAAAGCTTAATCTCACTTAATTATGTCCAAAAATTGGGAAAGAAATCAGCAAAAGACCCTAAAATTCAGTAAACCTGCAGGTCAGTTTCTGATCTGTAGGATGTCTTGTTCTGGATGTACAGGAACTCACATGTGCATTATACTCAGGACAGACACAAGAATTTTCTTTGGTACTAAGTTTCATTGCAAACATTCAGCAATTTTCATTATCATGCAATAACTCACTTGGTTAAAAACAAAACACCACAAAACAAGCCACAATTACTGTGAGTAAGGGAACATTACAAGTGTACTTACACTGTAGTCTGCATCAGGAAGTTTGATTCCAGGAAATAAATCACTAGTTATACCCATGAACAGAGGTATATCATGCGACAAAAATTTTGACTCATTCACATCCTTAATTGATCTAAGAATCTAGAGGAAACAAACATACATTTTACTGCTCTTATTAAAAACTCAGAATAAAATGTTCAGCAAGTAAAATAATCTATTATGTGATACAGATTAATTAATTAAATAGTGCCTTTGATAAGGAGTTAAGCACAAGGGTGCAATCATCAGCATAGGACTGGAAAGCGTAGCATCATTGTTTCACAGACTAAGAAACATGGATCAGCGATGTGACAAGACATGGTGAAACTGCCTTCAGAACTCAGAACTGCAGGAATCTGTAAAATTCTTTAAAGAGGTATTCCCTCGGGAACTCACCAATATATCTTCATCTTCCATGGGAAATTTCAATTTCAGATTCCCAGCAGCCACCAGCACAGCTTTAACTGCTCGCATACCATAGTCATAGTGATACTGAGAGGAAAGCTGTTCTGAACAAAGCCTGTAGGTCATTATTATCTTCACTGACAGTGATTTAGCATTCACAAATCCATATGAATAGAGCAAAATTTCTGCTATCAGAGCATAGTTTGGAACCATCATGGCTACTGTTCGGAAAAGAACCTGAAATACATACCCAAAGAAATATTTTTAAATAATTAGCTGAAGAATGGGAAGTAATTCAGAACTTTTGCAAATAATGGATCAGTATTCATCCCACCACAGCATTTCTAACTGAAAACAGTAACAACATTTTAAATGAAGTACTGCTTAGTATGATTAGGTAAACTGTGGATCATTTAAAACAGTTACACTGGAAAAGCAGTGGCCTGTAGAACATATGGGAGACAATGAAACAGAAGAACTGTTTGCGGACTCACTAGGAAGCTAACCTAAGTGAGCTGCCATCAAGATCCATCTCAATGCACAATCCAGTGCAGAAAAGACAACGTCTCTCCCAGCTCTTTCCCCTCATCACTGTCTCAAGAATGCAGTTTGCTTCTTGTGCTCATACTTTCAACACAGTGGTAAGCAAAGGAAGGTGTTACACATGGCAAGTGACAGAATGCATATCCTCAATGTAATCGCTACACTTTTCATGCTGCATTAACTCTGCTTTAAGTTGGCATTCACAGTGTAGTTCCCACTGAGGCAACTTGCTCTGGCACAGCACCTCTGTGACACGTTGAGTCTTAGGGAAGAAATGCTGTTCCAAAAGGCTCCAGATTACTTTGGTAAAGCCAAGCCTCTTCAATGAAACACCTCATGTAGTCAAAACAATAATCTCAACAATTTTATTTAATCAGGTAATTTAAGCAAAATTATTACGTGTATTAAGTGTAGTTCACTATCACCTCTTTTAAATAAGACTACAATAAATGCAATGTAAAAATATTTTCTTAATTTTTTTCCCAACATACCCCTGCATCCTAAAAGTTAGCATTCAAATCTTATGATCTAAGAGCCTGACACTTGTCAGTTTACTTGCTAGAGCATCACAGCCTTTGGCCTGGAAAAATAATCATGAAAACACTAATAGACACAATTGAAAAAAATACTTCAAATTCCTTCAAAAAGAGCAAAGTACTTGGAAAAAAACCTCCAAGCTTAGTATGTATAAACATAATACAGATATATGTATATTCCAGGTGGTACAGTCTGAATTAACACTTGCAATACACATGTCCCTCAATTCTTTTCAAAAATTCATTCATAAGCAGAAACGTGTATTTTATTATTTTACCTTCAGATTATCTGGAAGTTCAGAACGTCCTGCATAACCTGGATTCACAGTAATAGCTACAAAACAGTTGGGGTTAAGCTTCAGTTCAGTTCCTTCAAAAACAAATGTTTCTAGCTTTATCTGTATGGCTCTCTGGATGCAAAGGATCTGCTGTGCCACAACAGACAGTACTTCCAGTTCAATGCAATTGAATTCGTCGAAACATGCCCATGCACCTGATGAAGCCAAACCCTTGAAAAACTGCAAATGAAGGAAGATGGCAATAATATCACTAACAGAATCTTAGAAGATTCAAAAGAAACTAAGAGTATAATGTTGGAAGTTTAATTACATGAAAGATAAAATTATGATAATATCAATGCCTGTTTAGAGCAAAGATCAGTGATGTACTGAAGAACAAAGTCTTTTATTGGTTCTAAAGAAAGTTGAATCAGAAGATCCTGATCCTGTGAACTCTTGTTTCTTTCATGTTTTAATTAGCAACTTAATAGGTTTTCATAAAGTACGGAAAATTAAACATATGTAGAGGTCAGTATATAGTGTCCAAGGGTAGCAGACCATAGGTGCCACATCCATTTATGAGTCTCTGCAAAGTAGAGACCCTACAATTTTAATCTTTAAAAGTAAAATACAAAATATATTTATTTTCTATTTACCTTTCCCATTGCCAGGTAATCGAGGCCATCAGAGCAGTTGAAGACAACACATTGAACAGCAAGAGCTTTAGCCAAATCTTTTGTGGTCTCTGTTTTACCAGTCCCTGCTGGACCGTCTGGGGCACCACCAAGATTTAAATAAAAGGCTCCAATCTTAAAAAGAGAAATAGTTTATGGAAATTATTAGTATTTCGTTCATATGAAATTATTCTGAATGACAATGTTAAATTAAATTGCACAATATTACTTCATACAGTCATTGCATGTAACAAAAAACATAGGGTTATACTAATTAAAATAGAATCTGAAATTTACTTACAGCTTGGAAATATATACAAGAGAATTGAATTTTGATCCTAACAGAGAGTCCTTAATTTTTTTTTATTATCATCATGACTACTATTAGTTACTCAAAAACTCTACTGGACCCAGACTTTCAGCTCCTGGTTAGATACAGCTTTCAAATTAAATTTGATTCAATTACTTGGTTGCATTTCTTTTCTATCTCTGATTCTCCTTTAATATACTTCTTTACTCTTTTCTTTTTCTTTCTCACGCTGTCCCCCCTTGCATGTGTATTCCACTGACCATTCCATATTCTCTCCTATATTCCATTGAAGTAGGAGGGAAATCTGACAGAAAACAATAAAGTTGCAGACTCTAAAGAAAATCTCAAATGTATCTGGCTTCAAATCCACAGTTACAGGGCCACATCTATAATGACAAGTGCTGGGAACACTGTATTAAGACCTTGGTGGACAAAGGGTGAGACTTCCATTTGCCAGAGTGCCAGGCTTCTGCTGGCCAGGCAGCTTTGCTCCAAGATTCGCCTGTGAGACTAAAAAAGAAATAGACTACCAGCTGCACCACCATCTCACACCAATGTACCTTGATGTTTTGACAATAGGTACCAAGCATCAGCTACAACCACACCATAAAGATTGAAGCTATGAAGAGGGCAAAAAAATGTTTTCAGATGCGTCAGTCAGGTTTCTTCAGGCCTTTTCCTTCTTAAACCCTAAGGAGTTTGTGACTAGGTCTCCACAGCGTGAAAATTACCATTTTAAAACAGAAGGAGGATGGGTGCCTAGTAAAACTTGAAACCATACTCCAGCCAAATAAATTGCAGTAAATGATAGTCAGAAAAGCCATATCTGAGATTACTTTGGTAACTTTCAGTTGTCAGGTTAGCTGAGGACAGACCAGTACAATAAAACACCTCTAGCAGGAGCAGGGATAATAAAAAGTTGCCAAACTCTTGTACTAGTTTGAGGAACAATACAAGCACAAGTGGATCACTTGCCACTTCATTTAGCAACCACAGAACATCAGAAAAGGATTTTGTGTTATTGTTATCTAGATAGAAATAAAAACTTGGGGCATTTTTCCTGTTGGTATTTTTAAAAACACATCCACAACAGAACAATCCACTAATGCTTCAGTCGAGTTGGTGGGCTGTCCAGATCTATTGTAATAAGTCAGCTTTATGTTCACTATTCTACAGAAATTACAACCCTTGAAAACCACATTTTAACAGAAATACCAGAGACTGACAGCAACTGCAAGTCCTAAAAGTACAGCTGTCATGAACAGTGTAAGACATAATATATTAAACACAGTATTTAGTAGCACTGGTGGACGATCATACCAAGGTGCGGTAACACCTGTCTGTAAGAGGAGTAATGACAAGGCGGGGTGAGTTTCCAAGGTATTCATAGGCATATTTTACATTGCAGTTAATGATGCAGACACGAACGTTCTCTAATTCCCAATAGTACCGTAGTTGTGCAAGCCACTGAAAGTTTGTTTCACTCTGCACACCTGATAAACACAGAATTGGAAGGAATCATAAAAGATGTTTTAGATAACTGGATACTTTATGAGGTCTAAATTTAAAACAGCTCTGAAATTATCAATGTTGATGGTCATATTCAAATATTCCCACATATATCTTAATACTGTTGTGTTTGAGGCAGCAAACGTATTTTTAATTAACTAGGTATTAAGACACATGTGAAGAAATACGCTTTAAAAGACAATTACCACTTTCAATCATTTCCATGAGGACATCTCTAGCATGAACATCAATAGTTACCAAGGCACCCAGTGTAGTTCTTGTTTGCTTTGACAGTTTTCCTCTTACCAGCTCTACAATATCATTAAGTTGAAGCTGAAGTGTATTATAATAATCCTTTAAACCCTAGGAGAAAAAAAAGGTAAATATGAAACTGATTATATGACAGTTTCAAATGTTCCAGACTTCTTCATGTTGACTAAACTTCTTAATGGAGCCATTTTTTTACATTGCCATGCTTTTGCATCAACTTCTCTCATTCACAGTTATGTACTTATGTTGCAAAGCTACATTTAAATCTGTGCTTGCTGTAAACAAGAATATTCATGTACCTGAATCAAAGATATAAATCTCCGTACATAGATTCATTTATGCGATGCAAAATACATTAGCTAAAAAGAAAAAATAATAAAGATTTTTAAAAAATATTATGCATTACAAAGTACCTCTGGTCCACTGCAAAGGACTTCATGTACCTCACTTGTCCAGAACATTTGAGACACACACAATATTACTTGTCCAGGCCACTCTAGAACCCATCTTTTTCTCTCAGTTTCTAGATACGCCTGAAAGAGTTAAATACAGTACACAAGTGTTGTGTTTTTAACTTGCAAATAAAAAGAAAGCTGAATAATTTATTTACATCAGGTGATAGATCCTATTAAACACAGTATTGCTGCCAACCTTATAAAAGAATCTATATCCAGTGTTACAGGAAAATGACTTGCTTCCTACTCAAACTAAACTCTTACTCATCTCACCACCCTATAAACACATGTCATGTTAACTTGGTCCTGGCCTCATAACTTCATCAACTCCTGTGCTCAGGAAGAATTTTAAGAAACCAAGAGACAGTCTCAAAATAAAGAAAGGTTTATTTCTGCCACAGTTATTAAATTATTACAAACCCCGTACCATTCTTGATCTAGCAATAACATCACGTATACTCTTCAGCATAATATCTTCTACTTGAATTAACCACTTCTCCACTGCACCTTGAGCTTCAGAAGTAGAAATGGTTGAAATCAGTTCTACATGCTCGCCTTCAGAACTGTACATTGCTTGAATATCCAGATTGGGAAGGAAATGTAGCTTAGCAATGCCTTCAAAACACTTCTTCAAGTGAGGCTGAACTCTGAGTGGATCCTTAGTCTCTGAGAGGATCTCCAACATTTCATCATTAGACAAGAAAAAGAAGCTAAAAAAATTCAGAAAAAAAGAAAAAAGAAACAAAAAAGCCAACTGTATCATCAAGCTACTTTAAAGGCTGACTTTATTCATAACAGAACAAACATTCAGAACCTTCATTTTTTAAACAGCCAAAACCCATCATACCGGGGAAAGAAGAGACGTTTTTTCTCAAGATAAGCATTAAGCCCTTTCATGATTTTGTCAAGAAGCTCATTACAGTTCTGAAGCTTCTCCAATAATCCTACGAAGGAAGTAGCAAAAAGAACCTGTAATAACAAATACAAACTGAAAGTTATAAATAAGATACTTCAAACAGCAGAAGTTATTCAAATAAATGCACAACATAGCTTTATTCCTAGAAAGCCTAGGCAACTGATGTAGTAGTTCATTGTATACATTCTGAATACAAAAGCATTGACAAAAAAAACCCCCAAACACGAGAGAAGCTGTTATTTCCTTTTAGTACTGTGTATTTTCCTTACTTTTGGGTCTTTGGCACAGTACTTCATAATATCCCTCCAGTTTCTATCCACAGTCTGAAAGAGACGTCCCTCTTCTGGCATCTGTTGCATAATATCCTCAGAAGAAAAAATGGATTCCAAATAAAGCCACTGCGCTTGCACTTTCAGCCACTCATCAATAATCTCTTGAATTTGAATTAAGCGATTTTCCCATGCCTTAATAAATATTTAAAGAATGTTACCTTCATAGTTCCAAACAAATAATGTTAGAGAGAATAAATACAAGAAAGGTAGACTCTGTGGTAGTCTAGTTTGCAAGGAGAAAATAACAATGTCTGGCAGATAGAAAAATAATTAGGAGCATTTAGGATCTTCCATGTATACAGATGGCCAAAGGAGTTCAGAAAGGTTGACTTACCTAGAAATGAGTTTTCCAAAATGCAGTTATCACCTTGGTCCTATGATCTTTTAATAAATTAATGGTTAAGTAATACCCAGGAGGCTACCAGTGACAAATCCTGTTTAATTTCCTCACAGCAAGTAGCTCTTGGTTTGCAGCTGAATTACAGCAGGGACACAAGAATACCAGAAAGGCCACACTAGATCACAGGTGAGATCCAGCCAGCCCGGTATCCTGTCCCTAAAGTGAACAACAGCAGATATCTCTGGAAGAGGCTGGAAAGGATAAAAACTGTAAAGCGTAAATACTACCTACGTTCAGTGAGCCTGCTTGAACCTGAACTTTTTTACATAAACCAACAAAGAACTAGGTAGGGTAACTGCAAAGCAATTTCATCAGCTTCCCTCCTGTCAATAGGCATGGTTTTAGCACCACAAAACTACTCTAGCCCTAAAAATACAAAAGCAGGTGTAAAATGATCCCGTCATTGTTCTAAGGCCTCATTAAAAGAACCCTTCTCCCAGCCCTCAGGAAGTTTCCTTGCCCAGATGAAAACACTAGAGTTAAAAATTTGAGTCCAAAAGTCAAGGATTAAATCCCTAAATGTGATTAAAGTGTAAATCACTAACAATAATAAAAACATAATTTCCAGTTATTAAGCAGCAATGTTAAAGACACTAAAATCAATAGTGATTTTGCAAAATATGAAAACAAACAAAAAAATCATGTTCTCTCAGTCCCACTTGAATCTGAATGGAAGAGGGAACTCCAACACAGAAATAATATAAGTAAGACTTATATGAACTCAAAAGAATCTTGGGGAAAAAAAAACAAACAAAGAAAGCAATCCATTAACAAGTCAAACAATAAAACTGTAATACAATTGGCTCACATTAAAGTTATTCTGTAAATAAAAAATGGTAAAAAGGTACTCATCATACCCTGATCTCTTTGTCAAATGGTTTAATGAAAGGTGATCCTCTCATTGTCTGAGTTTTCATAATCTGATCATCAAGAATAGCTTGAATGTCATCCACTGAAGACAGAATATGAACACCAGTATCACAATACACATTGGTACTGAAGTAAATCGCATCCCAGGTTTCCATCATGGCATGCATTGCTTTCTCTAAGGAAAATTCCTAGTTTCAAAAGAAAATAGTTTATTTTAGTCACTACATTATTTTTTCCAGCTCACTAATTCAATATGAAAGCTTATCTAGCCACATAAGCTATTTTGCTTTAACAGCATAAATTAAATTCTTGTTATTATTTTTCTTAGTATATCATTCACAGGAAGCAGATCACTCAGGAAATACTAATGATGTAACAGGAGATACGAATGTTTACACACTCACTGTTATCATCTAATTGGTCAAAGACTCACCATATCTCTTTTGTTGCATAAGGGCAAAACCAAAAAATTCTAGTAAGCCATAAAAGCCATCACTTAGAGACTTGATGTTATATTTGTGACTATCAAATCTCTAGGCTTACCTTGCTTGCACCTACACTTATACCTTCAAACTGTTCCAAATAAGGGGCTAGATTCTGCTTTAAAACTTTTCTCAGAGTAGTTCCAGAGTCTGGTGTTATATCATATCCTACTATATTTGACATCTGCTGCCAATGACGAGTTTTCATGCCAGGGTTACATAAGATAGTCACAGTGGGTATATTCTCCTAGTTGAGTAAAAATATTTATAAGTTAAAAATTGTGATGTGCATCATTCCTCAGTTTCATCAGTTACATCTTTGACATGTATTTAAAATTCTTCTGCAGTGGCTGCTGACATGAAAATCTTTCTTGAAAAGTGCAGACGGATTCATTCAGTTACCCATGCCATTTCTAAATAATTCTAGTAAATTACTGAAGAAGAAATATAAAACTGTTAAGCACAGTCTTAGCAGAAAAGAGAAAAGGAACAAATTTTCAGCTATGTTACGTTAAATTGGGCTTCCATTAACATAACATGTAGTCCCGTTAAAAAACTCCTAACTACATCCTTAAATGTTTCTCTGCATCCACAATTACTTTTCTCCTGTACGGGTCCACTCTTCAACAATTCACATTCCTAGAACTACAAAGATCTCCAAAATCCAATTTTATTAAAATCAATGGGACAGTACAATCTGGAAATGGTGAGTCAGAGCTCACTCCCTCTCTCTGTAATAATAGAAATCTCTGACACTGCATCATCTACCCATGCTGAGTGCTGAAGTTAGCATTTGTTCCTCAGCATCAAATATTAATATCCCTCATCTTTCCTTACCTTGAAGTCTTTAATCTGCTCCAGAACTGAGGAACACATTGCCAAAGTTGGATCTGCCTTTGTTTTTTCTTCTGTCTCCTCTTCTACAATTCTGCATTGTGAAGTCACTTTCTGTTTCTGTTCCATTTTCTTCTTCTTTTGTTGGAACAGTCTTAACATTTCGTTAATCTCTCTAAAAAACTCATCAACCTCAGCCTCCATGCTTTCCCCATTTAGTTCTGTAAAGGCACCATCCATCCATCTGAGAAAAAAACCACAAAGTTAGAAAACAGAACAACACACAAATAGTCCACAAATGCTTTGTTTTGCAATACAAATGAGACGTAGATTAATAGCTATTTGAATTAGAGCAAAGCTCTTGCTTCAATTATTGTCATTCTATGGAAAATTCTAATGCAAAACTAAAGGTCGCTTGATCACACTCTGCTGTGTATTTGTGTAATTTTCTCAAGTCAGTCATGTACTGAAACAAAGCAATTGCATGGACTGAGAAATATTTAAGCCAAGCCCTGGACAGAGATCAACATATGACATAAAAATATACTAGGCCTTGTATTTTCAAAAAAATCTATACTTTCTAGCCATAATGTTATACCTTCCAGACAGTGAAGGATCTGGTAAACAATCTCACTTAGTTTAAACTCAGACATACTACAATTTTTGTGATAGGATCTAGCCACCAGATAGCAAAGTAATTCATTTGAGCACATCGACACAGCATGTTGGATAGCCACTAGGTTAAAAATGGTACTCATTACATACAGACTGTGAGCTTTCTAATTGAACCTCTTTCTTTTCTGGTATAATGGCTCATAACTAACCAATTTTTTTTCTTCCTAATACATTTCTTTCATGGTTTGTCTTATAAGCTTCACCAGCATGACCAGTTAGAACCTAGTGTGTAATACGCTCCTTTGCATTGCATTACATAAACAAACAAACAAACATTTTTTTCTAGCTGAATTAAAAATATAAATCCTGATACCTAAGTTGTATGACTATTATGCTTGGATTCGTAATAACAAACAAATGTTTATAAGAAAACAAATCCATATCCTACATCTGACGTGAACAAAACCAGCATTTTTCCTGCTCTCCCTCATTTATCTTCAAGAGCCGAATTACCTTTTTTCTGTTTGTTGCCATTTCAGTATAAGATGAAAGAGTTTCTGATATGGTTCAATACCAACTTTTAAGCTGTTGAGGAATGGGAAGTCACTCTGTTCCCTTTGAAGCAGAGTCTCTTCTTTATTAATATCAGCTATTGTTTCATCAGCCTCCTGTATGCGTTTCTGTAACACCGTCAGGTCAGCAACATACTGAAATCAAATAATTGTGTCATAAGAGATAACTAAGTTATGCTCTGAGCAGCTATCAAAATATAATAACCCTTCATACTTATAAAAATTTTAGAAAACATGAGTTAAAAAACTCATCTTCACATCCTTGAGTAGATAAACCATGAAGAATCCAGATTAACACTAAGAAAAACAATGTTGGTTTTATCATTACTGAATTTAGGAATATAAAAGCATTTTCAAAATGTTTGAGCTTTAAAATTCACTGTTCCAGGAGGCAGGCATACACATTTTTATGTACTTGACATATCACAAGGGCAACTGGGATTCATTAGCTTAAGATTTCTGTTTTGTGCTTTGAAGTGTTTTGTTTTTAAAAAAACAAAAATACTAAGCAAAATTTTGTTATCCTCCAATTAAAGCACAAGACATGCTCTGGTGATTATAAAATACCTCTAGAAATTTCCAGAGTTTTGAAGACAGGGGTCTGCTCTTCATTAGCAGAAAAATGAAGCTTTGAGGTTTCATAGGAAAAAAAAAATCAAATTGCTACCAATCACAGTTTATAACCTGCAATTTTTCCTTCAGTTCCTCAAGACAGCAAAAACAGGGAAGGAAATTCTGATCCCACTGAATTTATTTATGTACAAATAATGTCACTGGGGCCAGAATTCCATGCTTTATATGAGCTAGAGTAAAAAAAAACGCTTCATTTTATACATCTGTAATACCTCAGTCCTTGCTGGGATTACCTTTCAGCTAATTTAAGCACAACTTCAAAGTAAACTTTCCTTTAAGTCAAATGTGATTGCCAATGTAATACAAAAAGAGGAGCAGGGATCCTTTTATAAGTTTGTTCATTGTAGCAAGAGAATAATAAACATTTTAGTTCACATTTGTTAAAATAACTGATTACTTTTAATTCTAAGCTTCTTCCATGATCCCTGTGTATTAAACATACAAAACATTTCTGCCCATTTTATACTAAAAGTTAATCAAACCTGTTGCATGCAATCCAGTTCTGAGTATTCTTCCAACTCTGCCACTGCACACATCAGCTTGTCTAACTCCACCATCAGTTTCTCACATTTATGTATTAGTTCTTGCTCTCCTTTAAGTTTAGACTGACTGATCAGCTACAAAACAATTTATTTGTTTTAAATGGTAAAAAAAGCAATGCAAAAGTAGTTGTAACTCCTTTCAATGATTAACATACATAGTACCACCTAAATTAAACATTTAGCCAAACAGAAAATAAATAATACAGATAAGTTATTATCCTTACAATAATTGCAATTTCTTCCGGTGTTGCTTTCTGTATGTCCCATTTAAGTGTGTGCAACCTCTGTATGTTAACATGGAGCCCTTATTTCAATAATCATAGCAGTTTTAATCCCTTAAAAGCCTCCTTCAGCAATGAGACAAAAGATAGGAAAGTATTACAGAAAAAAATAAAGAGATTCTCATCTTTGAAGTTCAGTGTTTCATTGCCAAAAGAGGACATCTACAGTTGTTGAAAGCCAAGTCTATCCCAAAGAGTATCTACTCCTATAAAAGACAGAAATTCTAGCATATAAGACCACTCTAAAGCACAGGGTCTGCACACAGAGCAGTTATTAGAATCATAGAATGTAATGGGTTGGAAGGAACCTTTAAAGATCATCTGGTCCAACGCCTCTGCAGTCAGCAGGGACATTGTTACCAGATCAGGTTGCTCAGAGCCCCATCAAGTCCGGGATGGGGGGGTTGTATCTCCAGTATCTCCAGGGATGGGGCCTCCACCACCTCTCTGGGCAACCTGTTCCAGTGATCTACCACCCTTGTACTGAAAAACATTTTCCTAATATCCAATCTAAAGCTACCTTTTTCTAGTTTAAAACCATTACCCCTCATCCTATCGCTACATGCCCTGGTGAAAAGCTCTTCCGTAGATTTCTTATAGGCTCCTTTCAGGTACTGAAAGGTAGCCATAATGTCCCCCTGGAACCTTCTCTTCTCCAGGCTGAACAACACCAACTCTGTCAGCCTATCTGGGTGTGTTTTATTTTTAAGGTACCAAACAAGAACTCATGAGGCAGAGGAGATCTCCTAAGACAAGGACATCTACTGCCATGCAAAAAAAAATTGTGAAGCAGACAAACGGAACTTCTCCAAAGGAGGAACCAGTCTTTTCTTGCATTAGAATAAGAATGGACTCATAGGAGAGAGTATAAAATGCAAATATGTAGACTCATAAAACCTTGATGTAAAACTATTCTTGTCCTTAAGCTCCAGCACAATGTAAGTTGCTAGACAGTCAGCTAGACAGTGAGATATAATCCTGAGGGAGTCTCATTAATTCAGATACACTCTGTACTATAATTTTCATTAAATTGAACAAGTATCATGGACTCTTTGTGTACAAGTAGAAAATTACTTTCGCTCATGTATTTTGGAGAATTAAGAGAATGATAACATGCAAACAAAGAATTTTACAGCCACAGTCTCCCAAGCTGGGTATGTTTTAAGTCAGAAGCATATTTATTCCCCTTGTTCATACTCCTTAGTACCTAAAGGAGAGGGACCTAATGAGACTCAGCGAAAAAGAAATCCTCAATCATGACATTTCAAAAATACTCATATTTTTATTTTTAAAATGTTAATTGTTAGCTATTAAACATTTTAGAAGAAATTATTAAGTCTATGCCAAATTACTATAGAGGTAAGAGAACACCAAAAGGCTTGACTTACTGTATTGCAGCCAGAGAGAAAGAATGCTAGCATGATGAATACAGACAGGTGGAAGAAAGAAAGCAAATTATAGTCACACAGAGAAAATGATATGTTGCGTATTTTCTTTAACGATTGCTACCCAAAAACAATTCCCACTGTTCTTTTATTGACAGAACAAAATACCATTTTAACTAAATGACTTCCTGTCCAGACCATGATCTCTTATTAAGGGCCTAGCAGTCACATTTTCAGTACCAGTAAACCACAGTACAGTGAATTTTCACCTTCCTATGAATTACCTAGTACCGACCACAAATTAAGATAAGACTTACTGAAGGTTTTAAGTTACAGTGACAATTTTAAAATTCTCTACAAAAAGCACGTTATTTATGCATGTCTAAATTAGTATGGTTCACATTATATGTATAGATACATTTAGCCTGCTGAGGAAATAAATAGCTCAAGTAAAGTGAAAAGTCTAACAAGCCAAAAATATACCATAAATTAAGAAAATGCTCTTACATCATCATGCTCAACAAAAACAGCGTTAATCTTCTTTGGCCACAGTAGAACCATTGCATTCAGTGCAATGTCTTCAGAAGTAAATAAAAAACCACCTAAGAAGTAATTCATTTGCTGACAGCACTCCTATAAAAAGAGATTTCACAAAACTTTAGTCATCATACCTCTGTTTAAAATATAGGGTAGGATAATATTATCTACAAAGATAAAATTCAAGTCTACATTTCATGGACTTCTCAGAATTCAGAGCTGCTTCAGTCAACTGAATATTAACATTCACAATACTATAAAAAATTTTCAAATCCCTGCCCTGTTCGTAAGTTTATTTCTCTAGATATGACTCCTGTGGTCTGTAATCTACAGGTTAATCCTACCATTATTAAATAATATAAAAAACAAAAAACCTGCAGTATAAATGTGTGTTATATTTGCAGAGATATTGCCATCATAGAAGATCTGATACATATCATCATAACAACATACAGCAAAGAGCTACTTATCCAGGAATGTTTTTAGCTGACCCACACATTAGACATTTTTCCAATTTTGTTCCCTGAGCACTCACAAAACCACTGCTAATGCAACATCATTTATAGTCTGCTCTAATAGTAAACTGCATCCTGTGTGTTCAAAGTCATGACTGTTTTTACACATAAAATTCTCTTTACACTTACGTGTTACATTTTCAGAAATACCTTTTTAAGCAGCCCTGAAGTAAGGGCTAGGTACAAACAATAAACTGAGTGTCTTACAACCTACGAGGATTTATTAAAAGCTGCATTTCCTCACTGACATGCAGAACAGATGAGAATGGAGAATAAGAAAGGCATATGGCAAAGGATGAGCTGCACTTCCTCCTTCTCTCTGAAGTAGCACTGATGGTACAGTTTATTCATACATGTAGCATGATCAGACAAAAACCTCTGCACTTCAGAATGATTTCTGTATTTGTATAGACCAGTATATTTGTTAAAAGACTAAGAATTAAAGGATAGTCATTTACCTTGATCCTTAACATCAGGTCTTGAATATCTTTGGTTTTGACCTCCTTTATGTAAGCTATTGTTTCTACCACTTCCTCTGTTGTCTCAGGAACTTTTAATGCACGTTTCTTAATTTCTTCAAATTCCCTGCATATCCTATAAATTTATTTAACATAAAATATCAAAATTTTAATATTTTTATTTGACTGGCTTCAAGCTCAGCTTTAATGGAATTAACAGTCCAAATCACAGAATCACACAGAATCACAGA